GGTACCTTCCTCCACCAGAGTGGTTCAAGTGGCACAGGTAAATGCAGAGATATACCCACACCTCCCAGGACCCACGGGCATGGCTGAGAGGAGCCTCTTCTGATGGGAAAAAGTTCTCTGGAAACCCAGAGCAGAGCAGCATAGCTCAGGTGTGCCTGGGGTTCAAATAGGAAACATTCCTGAATCGATACAGGTCCGGAAGAGCCTTCAGACCAAAAGTGGGCTAACATGAATGAGTTAAAATCCTTTCCTTTGCTTGATGAAATTTATTGAAAACTACATTGTTCATCTGTTGAAACTTCACAGCTGTTGAGATTGCCCTCRGGGCAAACCACATCCAAGAAATGGCATGTAGATCCAGGGAGCACGAGACTTGAAAGCTGAAACGGCACTCTGAGCGCTGCCTCCCCTTCCCTCGCAGTCACGTCTGGCCATCTGCAGCTCCTCCAGTGAGGCACTGTGGTTTTTTCTTCCTCCCATTTCTCATGTCCGACTCCTGCAGTACAGTCACTGTTTCAGGCATTGTATTTTGACTAAAACTAACTGAGGAGGGATGCAGACAGGAAGACGTCTGTGTGGGGAGAGTGCTCAAAGCCTGTGGCAGCGTCCAGAGTGAGACAGGGCTGTGTGCCACACTGCTGTGGTGCTGCCATCAAATATCACCTGCCTGTGACAAAACTGCTGTTTTGTTATCCTTTGGGGGAAAAATCTGTGAATTCTGTTTAGTGGCAGCAACTTGCCTTTTTATATTATTATTATTATTATTTGCTGGTTGCAACTCTGCTTGCAAAAAACTGTCCAGGATAAAAAGGTAGTGCTTGCATATTCCCTTCTGACCTGAGTGCTCTGTGTGAGCTTGGGGACTAAATCAGCCACTTGGCACAAGCAAAACTAGGACCAGCCAGAACTCAAAGATGAAAACAAAAGGAGGACACGAGAAAGCCACCAACTGCATACAGTCAGTCACAAATGATTCATGGAGTAATTTTGAGTAGCAAACACATTGGTAAGAACTGGAGGTTTTGTTTCTGTCTTTTTGGGGGATTGTCCACAAACAAAAATATTGGCTAATTCATCAGACGCTTTCTTCTGCTTTGAATAGTTTGCCCAGATCCCCGAGCAATCATCCCGTGCAATTTGCTGTTAACCTAAATAACTTAAATTCAGGTACACCCAGAGCACGGCCCAGATCTGCCCCTGCATGCACTAATTAGGGTTCTCCAAGCGCAAACCTGCAGCTCGGGATGCAGGAGGCTCCGGCAGCACCCCCAGATGCTCCCGCTGGTGGCGGGGACCGCGCAGGATGTGCCGAGCGAGGCGTGGCTGCACCGAGACGGCTTCTGCAGGAACGGGGACACTTGTGGGCGTCACTGTCCCCTRAGCAAACAGCCTGTGAAACTGCAGCCGTGTAAAGCCAGCCCCGCGCTGTGCCCGCTGGAGGGGCAGACAGGTAGGAGACGCAGGGAGGCCGGCACCGCATTCCTTACCTGTGAAACAACCCCTTGAGAGCCAAACGCTTGGGGAATTCCTAGATCCCTTTGTAGCCACATTTCGGCCGTGACAGCGTGAGGATTTAAGCGAGGCAGACTCTGGAGGGGGAGGTTATGAGCTCCTTTTAGAGCAACGGGGAGAAAGCTGATGAAAAACACAGATCTGCCTTTTACAAACCTGGTCTTACCTGCTTCTGCTGCTAACAGAAGGATGAACTGGCCAGCCAGGACACCAAGTTATTCAGAAATTACTGAGTAAATCCTTCCAGAAGTATTCAAGAATTAGTTATTGCCTTCAGATTTATATGTCCCTAAATCCAGAGTCAACCTTCAAGTGCAGGCAAGCCCTAACATTTGAACTATGTAAGGAGGGATCTTCTGGAGCAGGGGAAAAGAGAGGCAAAATGAAGCTACTTGATTGAATCAAAGGTCAAATTTAGACTGAAAAATAACGGAATTAGGAAGTTTGGCCGGGCAAACAGTGAAAATTCTTGCGAGGATATTTATATGTAAATAAGGCCGTCCTGCACAAGCCCCCAGTGGGAGGATGGCTCCTCGGCAGGGCTCCTCACAGGCAGACCTGACACCGTACTTCCACCTCCGGTGCTGCGGACTCTCCAGCTGGGAGCAGAGGGCTTGCGGTGGGCGGTGTGTGCGCGGGTGGAGTTGTGTACACTCAGCCTCCCAGACAGCCACAATAAATTATCTCATTAGTAAACCCAGGGTAGCTGCGCTCCTCAGCACATACCCGGCCTCCCACTGCACAGAAAAACTTGGCGTCTAATTAACCAAATCAAAGGGTCCCCCAGACGCAGCTTAGAGGGACGCGCTCAGCTTGAAACCCAGGCTCCTTCAGCAAGTTGTTCTGTGCGTAGTGGAACTAATGAATCTTGATTTCTTATGGCTGGAGCTCTGGCATTCCCTGTGCCCCCTGCAAGTCCRTCCTCTCCTCCTGCCAGCACATGCCGAGCTTCTTCCTGTGGCCAGGAACAACCGAGAAGGGAAAGGAGCCTGCGGTGTGGCAGCTCCGGCCCTACATCGTGATGGCTCGACTGTGCTCCCGTGCTGACAGCAGAGAGCTGAGCTGAGCTGAGCTGAGCTGAGCTGAGCTGAGCTGAGCTGAGCTGGCAGAAGGCTGAGTTTCCTCGCAGTGAGGGGCTCCCTGAGGTCACCTTGGTCTCCCCTCCTGCCCTTTTCCTCTCCTGGGTGTAAGTCCTCTGCTTCCCCTCAGGCACTCGTGGCTCAACTGGATGGGGCTGCACAAGGAAGGGAACCCCACTTCTCCAAGAGGCACAGCTGGGAAAAGGAAAAGTGCAGGTGCTACTGGGGCAGAGGCTTTCCAGTCACATTCCTCCATTCCTCTGCTTTTACAGTTGCTTGGCCCCCTCTCAGTGGGAAAGGACAGGTAAACACTGGATGTAAAATGCTGCTGTTCCAGCTAAAGGCAACACTGCACAGCTCCCAGGGCAGGTGAGCTCCGTGGTGCTGCGAGAGGAGGGATTTGGGGGTGTTACCCCTCAGAACARGAGACCAAAGTGGTGTTTGTGTGAGGAACAATCCCTTTCTTTCCTCGGGAGTGTAGGAGCTGCAGCTCCCCCCGGCCTGCCCAGCTCCTGCGCCGAGAGGGCGGCTTGCTTTACAAACTATTCTCTCTTCCCCTCGTGCTGGAAATTTGACTCTACAAAAACACTTACACAGCAGCTAATTGCCAGCCCTGCAGTGACTTAGCTCTCTAATTCCTGCCAGTCAATGAACCAGCCCAAAGAGCTGAATGTACGAACACAGCCCTGGAGACATAACATAGTTAGGATATAGTTAGGACAACTTCTGGATCCTTCTCAATTTTGGGAATTTCTTTCTCTCTGCTGGGCACAAAGAGCATTCAAAGATGGAGCTGACAACAAGGCCAATCCCAGGGAGACGTTGAGGAGACATGGACCCACAGAGGCCCTGGAGACCGGCAGGGGTGCCAGGGAAGAGATGATTGTCAGGAAATTGGTTTGAAGGTAAAACTGGCGTCGTCCAGCCTGTCTCTTAATGATTTGAGGGCTCATCATCTTCTTTTCATGGATTCCTACAATGTCCACGCCTTCCAAAGTGTTCCTTGATCTTGGGGTTTGTATCCAGAGGGCTGCTGCAAAAATTGTTGTGCTGGCCAGTGGYTCAGACCACATCATTCCTCCCTTGGCTCCTCCCTGACACCCTTATTTCTCTGCCCCAGTCGTGGAGTGCTCATCTTCCCTCTCCCAGCCACTCATTACCCACCTCTCCACCCCGTCTGTTCCCATGCAACAGAGGCTGTCTTCATTGCCCATTCCCAACAAGCCYCTTCATGCTCTCCTGGTGTGCTCCACACCCGGGAGAAGAACCCYGTGAGCATTTGCAAAGCCACAGCATCACCCTCCCTGGAGCTTTCTGTAGTGACCACACCTGCAGCACCCGTCCTGAAGGGAGCATGAAGCCAGGTGGGATCATTCTGTGTTCCTAGGCAGCAAGGRACAGGACAAGGGGAAATGGCCTCAAGTTGTGCTAGGGGAATGTTCAGATTGGATATTAGGGAAGATTTCTTCACTGGCAGGGTCATCCAGCTGTGGCACAGGCTGCTCAGGGCAGCGCTGGAGTCACCACAGGAGTGTGTTCAGAAATGGTGTGGGTACGGCAGTCTGGGACACGCTTCACGGGTGTCTTTGGCAGCGCTGGGTTAACACCCACTCTCGGTGGCTGTGTTACTGTCACTCGGTGGCTGTGTGGCCGTGGCTCGGTGGCTGTGTTACTGTCACTCAGTGGCTGTGTGGCCGTCCCTCGGTGGCTGTGTGGCCGTGGCTCGGTAGGCTCGGTGGCTGTGTGGCTGTGTGGCCGTGGCTCAGTGGCTGTGTGGCCGTCCCTCGGTGGCTGTGTGGCTGTGTGGCCCTCACTCGGTGGCGGTGTGGCCATCATTCGGTGGCTGTGTGGCTATGTGGCCGTGGCTCAGTGGCTGTGTGGCCGTCACTCGGTGGCTGTGTGGCCGTCCCTCGGTGGCTGTGTGGCTGTATGGCCCTCACTCGGTGGCGGTGTGGCCATCACTCGGTGGCTGTGTGGCCCTCACTCGGTGGCTGTGTGGCTGTGTGGCCATCACTCGGTGGCTGTGTGGCTGTGGGGCCGTCACTCGGTGGCGGTGTGGCTGTGGGGCCGTCACTCGGTGGCGGTGTGGCCATCACTCGGTGGCTGTGTGGCTGTGGGGCCGTCACTCGGTGGCGGTGTGGCTGTGGGGCCGTCACTCGGTGGCGGTGTGGCTGTTTCGCCGTCACTCGGTGATCCGTGGGTGATTCCCGCTCCCGTCCCCGGTTCCGGACGGGCCTCACGCGCCCTCTGCCGGGAGCGGCCGGGCAGTGCGCGGCCCCGCGCGCTTTCTGCGCATGCGCCAATGGGCACACTGCCATCCCTCAGTGAGGCGGAGCTGCGGCTTCGCTTGGCAGACTGCGCATGCGCACTGTGTCACGTGTCTCTAGCGGCGCCTCTTAGCGAGGGGCGCGGGGCGGGGCGCGCAGAGCAGCGATGGCGCGGGGTGGCAGGAGCGTGTCCCGGCCCGCGGCGGCACCAGCGCCCGCCAGGTACCGGGGGGCTCGGCACGGCGGGGCCCGCCGGAGGACACTGCCCTGCGCCGCCTCACCGTGACCCCTTTCTCTTCACAGCCCGGCCCCAGCGGCCCCGATGCCCGCGGCGCAGCCGGCGCAGCCCGGGCTGATGGCGCAGATGGCGAGCACGGCGGCCGGCGTGGCTGTGGGTTCCGCCGTGGGACATGTCGTGGGCAGCGCCATCACCGGCGTCTTCAGCGGCGGCTCCTCCGAGCCGGCCAAGGCGGCGGCGCCCGCCCAGGTGCGAGGGGAGCCGGGCTGTGCCCTTGGGCCGCCCTTGGGCGACGGGCCCGGGGCGGGGGTGCGGCATGGGGCGGCGGGACTGGAGAGCGGGGAGGGCTGGGAGGGAGCGAAGGAAGGACAGCTGCCCCTCGCCCAAGGTGACAGAGGTGCCCGCAGGAGCCCCGGCCCGTGATGCAGCAGTCGCCCTACGGACCCTGCCACTATGAGATGAAGCAGTTCCTGGAATGTGCTACCAACCAGAGAGACCTGACCTTGTGCGAGGGCTTCAACGAAGCTCTGAAGCAGTGCAAGTACAGCAATGGTGAGTGTGCCCTGTCCCTGCAGGAGGGAATTGCTGCCAGTAGAGCACCTCAGAGGGTTTGAAGGTTGCAGAAGCAATCTTTTGAGGTTATAGTGCCCTTCAGGGGTTTAAGTGGAAAGCAGTTCTGCCTTTCTGTGTCCTGGAGACCAGAAGGGAACTGGAAAGTGAAGGAGAAATTATCTTGACTATGTCTCTGTGAAGGTGGGGAGGCTGTAGGTACCTTCTTATGGAGTCCACGAGAAGCCTGTTGATCTCCCTGGCTGATTCTGTAATTCTTGCTGCATTTGTTACAAGCTGTTGTCAGTAGTTAGGTCTTGAGCTGGTCTCCTTGGGTCAGAGAGCTTTGCTGGAGCATGAACCTAATGCTGAACTTGTGCTTCTTTCCTGTAGGTGTTTCTTCTCTCCTGTGAAGAATTTGCCCCCTCATAGGGAAGAGGATCATGGTGTAGAGCCCCGCTATCCCCAGGGAGTGGAAGGATGGACAGGGAATAAGCTGGAGGGAGCAGACTGACCAGACAGGAGTATTCTAGCGGTAAATCACATCTGAACTAGTAGAGAAGGAAAGGAATGATTGGACCTTAGGGTCTTCAGAATTCAGATAGTGCTGTATTTATTACAGAGAAATAAAGAATTTATTTGGACCTCTCACTTGTGCATGTTCTTTATTTTAGCTACTAAAATGTTAGAATTGTCAGCCACATAAAGGACAAGGCACAGCTGTATATTTCCTGCAAACAGGAGGTACAGCCCACCAAGGACTGTGCCTGCATGACTTGACAGATCCAGACATTGGCTGCCCTCCAGGAGAGGAGAGGCTGGAGAGAGCTAATCCAACATGTGTCCTATAGTATTTTCAGTAATAAATTACTTTTCCTGTAGGTATTCTCTTCCTGCATACCTGTCCTGACCTCAGAGCTAAGAGAGTATGAACTGTCTGGCTGTGGGACTTGGATATGGTTGGCTGATCTGACTTTACAGCTTTAGCAGGTTATGCAATGTTCTCAAGGTCACTGGCATCAGGTGAAGTTTGGAGCTGCTTTCCCCTCACAGTCACCTTGGCAGGATGGCCTCGTGAGTGCTGCCTGGCAGCACAGACTGGCCTTCAGCAGGACACCCTGTTCTTCATGTTGGTGTAAAAGAGAATTTTGAGGCTTCAGCTGGTGTTCTAGGTTCAGCAGTGAAACCAGGACACTTTGAGATGCTTAACTGATGCATTTTCGTGGCAGAATAAGTGTTTTAACCTTTTGGTCTCTGACTGTTGAATAAAGGACAAGCTCTCAGCCCCTTGCTGGGATCTGTGAGGAAATCCAAGTCTAGACGGTAGATGCTGGCAGCAGATACTGGAGGCTGGTGTTGCAAGTTCTGCCCCTTCTAAATGTCACAGTCTTAAGTTCTTGGTAGATGATGTATTGAGCTGTGCCTGGCCTTAGCAGGAGTGTTGTGTGTTCTCCTGACCGACAGCCAAGGGAAAAAGGTGCCAGCAATTCAAAGCCCAAGTGCTCCTTGTGCTGAGATGTCCTGTGTGAGCAGGGAGGAACCACTCCAAAGTTGTTTTAACTCCCTTTAAGAAATAAGTGTTAGACTACTGCACTTAGACTTGATGCTCCTGCTGCTCATGGGTTGAAAGGAGGTGCAGGTTCTYGTCACTGGGGAGTGCAGGCCATGGCATGGGAACGGGAGACCTCTTGAAGCAGGAGGATGTTGCTTGTGCCTGCCTGTGGTGATGGCTTTGCCTGGTTTGTCAGGGTGCAGCKTGGGATGTGGTGTGAACCTCTGGGAAGAGCAGGGGATCTCAGGAAGCGAGGGTCAGTAGCAGGGGACTCTTGCTGTGCTGGGAGTACCAGGGCAGGTGGTTGGGCCCTGGTGGTGGCAGACCGGTAACGGGCCTGCTCTTCATTTAGGGGTCTTCTTGAGTTGCAAGCTCCTCTTGCTATTTGAGGTGGTCCTGTTCCTGGCTTGGGTGCTGGTGTTGGGCTGAGCCCTCCTCTGCATGGAGCCCTTCCTTGTCTGGACTTCCCTCTGGGTCTTTCCTGAGAGCTGCTGCAGCTGACCTGTGGAGTGACCAAGCYCTTCCAGAGCTGTGTTTTCCTGCTGTGTTGGTCACTTGCCCATGACATGTTGAGCAAGCACTGCCAACAACCTTGAGACTACAACAAAACCTGTGAGACTACAGCCTGGGAGAGACACTTGAGGGTTTCCCAATGTTTCCTRATGTCCTTCCCTCCCTGTTTGTTCCAAGGAAATGGCCCTCTTTGCCAAGGGGACGGGGTGGGTAGGCCTCTGCCTGGTGTGGGGTGGGAGGGCAGCAGGTTCCTGCTGTCACTCTCACTAGGAGGGGTTTGCACACCAGCCCTGCTTGTCCCTTTGGTGCCTTAATGCACTCGATGCACAGCCATAAGYAGGCCTGAAGGAGTGCAGTGGGATCAGAGGACAGTCCCACAGGGGCCRTACAAGGGCTGAGGTGGGGACCTCAGATCCTCTGTGGATCTGAGGTGGGTGCCTGGCTCTTACCTGGTAGGTCAGGGTAGTGTTTCCCTAGGTCCTTAAGCAAGGATTCATAGCAGGGGGCTTCAGAGTCTTTTTTTCCTGCCAGCAGAATGGGAGAAATTGATTAATCTCTTTCCGGGCTGCAGACTGAAGGCTTGTAACTGGGGCAAGCGGTTCTGCCCAACAAAGGTTCCTTCTGCCCTGGAGTGGCCCTTGGACAAAGGCTCAGCTCTAGTTCTTCATCCGAGCTGGCTTCTGCCTCCTCGGAGCTTCTGTGCTGGGTCCACATGACTGCTGAACAGAGCCCCTCTCCAAACCTACCCCCAGAGCAGACCTTTCTTGGCTCAGAGGCTGAGCTGTGCTGTGTCGACAAGGCACTTACGAACAACTCTGATGAGGATGTAGTGCTGCCTTCCCTGTAGGTATTTACTGGTGAGTTCAGATTCAGGATTTTCCACTTTGCTCAGATTCATCAGGGTGCCCTTTTCGTCCACAAGATCGATGCAGTCTGGAGGGAGAGACGTGGTTAAAAGGAAGCCCAGTGTGCCCCTGTGTGGCCAAAAAGCCTGGGGGGTTTAATGGTATTTTCCTTGGCAAGTTACACWTCAAACAGAATCTGGTAAGATCTGGGGAGCAGGAGGTTTCCTGTCCCTTTCCCTGTGTTTTGGGATGTTCTGTGACCCCCATGTGACCTGTTTGTTACCCTCTGCTCTTTCTCTATGGATGAGTGCCACTCCCTCAGTGACCACTGCCCAGAGCACTCGTACCTTCAGGCTTGCATTGGCACTTGCTCTTCAGGTGAGTTGTGAGCATCAGGACATAGCAGTTCAGGTTCACAAACRCTTGGCAGTTGGCTGCAGACAGAGAATGAGACCTGAGATAGCAGCGTGGTCATCCCAAACCCACGGGGCACAGGGCATTGCAGGAGTCTCAGCAGATGGCTGAGAAGTGCCTATGTGGCATCAGCAGGGCTTTAAGCAGCTGCATTACAGCCATGGCTGTTGGTAGTTGGTGMTGAGAATGCACCAGGTTAGGGGAAAAGATGAGTGCTTTGATTTGGGGAAAACAGTTCTGATTGATGAAGTGTCTCTGTCCTTCAATTTTGTTCCATCAAAAATGAGWAGGAAAAAGCAGTGAGCCCTGGTCCTTACCAGTCCCCTTCTACAAGCTGGTCCCAGTCACAAGGGGAAAGAGCTGGAGATWGTGGCTGTGTCACCAGAGGATATTTTGGCTGTGAACTCTGACCAAGTTTGTCACAATTGAGAAATCCCCCAGGGCTGACACACGTCAGCAGTCAGAGCTGGGGATCCAACTCAAATAGCAGAGGGAGCAAAGGCTTAGGACAGCGTGTGTCTGACTGCTTCAGCCACGAGTGTCTGGGGTCAGGCCAAGGCCCTCGGCCAACAGGGTGAGGTCAGCAAAGGGGCTCATTCCTTCCCACAGATACCTGCTCTCTGAAACTGAGAGCCAGGATTTGAGCCAGGGAGCCCTTCCCACACAGCCTGGAGTAGAGGAGCTCTGCTGACAGCTGGCACTTATACCCCATGGCTCTTCTGGCTGTGTCTAGGTAAGCAGGGCCTGCTCSGGTGATTTCCCAGAGCTGCCAGGCTGGGAACTCATCCTCACCTCTGGCCTTGGTCCCAGTGATTATCTCAGCTCTGCTGGAGTGATTTTCCTCCATGATTCAGAGTGGAGGTGGGATAGAKCTCTCATTTTTTAAAGCAGGTGAGGTGCAGGATGCTGCAGTGCCCTGGCAGAGCTCTCCTGCCTGTTCCCTGAGCACTGGGCATTGGATGCTGTGTCCCTCCCTGCCCCCTGTGGGGGTGACGAGGGTGGCACAGGTGCCCGCTGGCCCCAGAGCTGCGGCACAGCCGGGGCTCTCTCTCCCCACGTACCTCCGTATCTCACTTTGGCGAACATGGTGCTCCTGTGCTGGGCTGTGGTCCGGGTGCCTTCCTGCAGGCAGTGCTGGGAGCTGCTGCTGAGCCCAGGGCCAGGCTGTGTTTCCCAGTGACGCTGTTGTGGTTTCAGTAGCCAGAGCTCCCAGCAACAGTGAATGGCCCTGCCATTCACTGAGCCTCCTGCAGCTGTGGGGTGAGTAGAGGGGTAGAAAGGGCTGAGCCGAACAACAGCCTGTTGGGAAGGCTGGCTGCTCCATTTGGTCCCAGCTGCTCTGAATTTCAGACGTTTTGTAGTCTGCTGGTGTTTCCCACCCCCCTGTTTTTCCTGCAGCTCATGTGGGCTGTGGTGGTGTTAAATCTGCCCACCAGGCTCCTAACTGAGCCCAGCACTGCCGCAAGGGCAGCCCACCTTCTCTGTGAGATGACTGGATGCCACTGGAGAAATCACTCTGAGGATCCTGCCTGTGCTGGTCCTACTCTGGGGCAGGAGGCAGTGGGATTTTGCAGCCCTGTGATGTGCGTGGCCATGTGCCAGCTGCACCTTCTATTTGKTGCCCAAATGTTGCTGTGCAAATGTTCCTTCAGCAGTGCGTCAGGATCTGCAGCATCATCCCCTTTTCCTGTGGAAAACATAAGGATGGAATCATGTCCCCAGGCTGCTCAGCAGGTGGGGAGGGCCTGAATGGTGGGAACCAGTAACAACAGTGATGCACTCACTGCTCTGKGGACAAATCCCCTTTCTCTGAAATGCCCCTGCTTGCATGAGGAGGCGATTTCCCTGTCTTGCTGGGTTTCATTTCAGTCTGTCTAATCCATGGACTTGACCTATTCACGAGCTTGGGACAAGGTGTGTGGGGGTGTGTGTGTGTGTGTGTGTGACACTCCTCACCAAGGACATGTGCAAGGAGACTTGAGTTCATCTTGCCACCACCTTGCAGAATTTGAGGAGTGCTGGTGAGTAGCAGCTGGAGCTATATCTGCATGAAACACAAGCTGCTGATACCTGCAGGGGCAGGACTCCACAAGGCCACAAACACCACTGGCCTTGGATGGGCTTTGGAGCTGGTCTCGTGCAGCTGTGGCTGCATGACCTTGCTGAAGGCTGGCTCTAATGAACCTGATAGAGGGGGTTTGCCCAGATGGGCTCAGCTGGGACACAGCCAGGCCTTGCTGCTTGTGCCAGGACTGCTGTGTGGCACCACATTGCCCTGCCAGGGGCACAGCAGCCCTTGCTGCCCTCGTGCCCTGCAGTCCAGCTGTGCCAGGTGCTCTAGGGCCCTGTCAGGTCTAACTGGCCCCTCACTGCTCAGTTACAGCTGCTCTGAGTGACCCAGAATGCAGAAGCCAGATGAGCCATTGGGTGCACCAGAGCTCTGCAGGGTAGCACAGCAGAGCAAGGGTCCAGCTTCCTGCATCAATCACATCCTTGGGTGATGGAGCAGCTTCCTCCTCAGGACTTGCCCCTGCCAGGGACACAGTGCTGGGGTGCTCTGAAGAGGCAGGGCTCTGCCTCAGGGCTCCATTTTCCCTCACAACCAGAGTGCACATGGGGCAGTCACRTCAGGACCCACTTGCAAACGTCTTTGGCGTGGGGATGCTGTGGGTGCTGCAGAGGGATGGAGTGGGCTGTCCCTGGGCGGTGATGAGGTGGTATTGGCAGGGGCTGAGCTGCCTGTGGAGGGCAGGAGGCACCCACCAGCTATGAGAAGTGCATGCTGACCACACTGCTGTGGAGGACAGCYGGGTCTGGTGGCCATGTGACAGTGTCACAGACAGGAGGGCCTTCACGCCTGCTGAGCTGGTGGCCTGTGGCTGTAACGGTCTGCTGTCCTTCCGCACGAGGCACCAGCTGTGCTGCAGCCAGCTCTGCACCCTTGGCAAACACCTTCTGCCCGGTGACCTTGGCAGCCACCCCACCATGCTGCCCATGGCTGCTGCTCCTCAGGTGGCCCTGGAGAAGAGGCACCGCCCTTGGCATCATCATCAGTTCCCRGCCCCTGCAGCAGGTTATGCTGTGATGGAGCTGCATGAAGGGAGCAGCAACTTTCTTATGCTGCTTCTGTGATGAGCCTGAAGGATTCTGGCACTGCCCATCTCCCATTCTCCCTGGTGGTCCCCAGCCTGCTGCCTCCACAGGGCATCCTTGGCACAGTATGGCCCAGGGTCCTGACTTCCTGTGTGCCTGGCAGCAGAAAGCCTGGGTATGAGACCCCAGGGAAACCTCACCAAGGAGAGATGGTCAGTGATGCTGCCCCAGTGTCCAGGACAGAGCTGGTAGGGTGTACTGTGGGTGCATTGGTGCAGCTGGAGGAACTGGCCTGGGGTGAAGGTGGGTGCTGAGCAATGCTCGGCTCTCACCCCCTCCCTTCAGCCCAGCTGCAGCAGAGTGAGCAGCCCTGGGGAGCAGAGTCCCTGAGCCCCGTGTGTCATTTACATACGTCCCACTGGCGCCCACAGCACAGCGACCGGGGTTAGTGCAGCACCCCTGACCCTCTCGGAAACAGCCTCCCTTCCTCTGCCTCGTCATGGCCCCGGGCTTCATGGTCCTGCTCCTGGTGGGGACGATGGGCACAGGTAAGGGTGGTGTGGCTGAGTCAGTTCTGCCTGGGGGGGCACTGCAGGGTGGTGGGCAGGACTGGGCTGTCCAAGGGGAGRTTGGTTTGAGTGGGGCATTTGCTTCAAGGCTGTGTGGTGTGACGAGCGGGATGGTGGTTGTGAAATGGCGTTGCCTCAAGGGAGCCGAGGGACATTTTGGGGCTGAGGGTGGTGGGGTACGCAGCTCAGTCCATCAGTAACCGCATCTTTGGTGCGTGCAGCTTCCAGGACTCAGCCYGTGCTGACCCAGCCGAGCTCTGTGTTCGTGCTGCCCGGGCAGACAGCTCAGCTGTTGTGCACCCTGAGCCCCCAGTACAACATCAGCCACTTCGGCATCTCCTGGTACCAGCWGCGCCCGGGGCACTCCCTGAGGTATCTGCTCTATTACAACTCTGAGCGAGACAAGCACAAGCCTGCCAAGACTCCTGACCGCTTCTCTGCCTCCAAAGACCTCGCCAGCAATGCCTGCATCCTCACCATCACATCCGTCTGCCAGGAAGACAACGGCACCTATTACTGTTCCCTGTCATCTGCCTCAAAATGGTTCTAGAAATGGGGAACAAAAGCTTTCCGTGCTTTCCCTGGCAAACCTGACGTGCTCTCAGCAGGGAGAGCAGCAGCTCTGGGAAGAATGGGAAAGGCCATCTCGCAAGCTTGAGCAGGCCCGGCAGCGCTGCTTTGTGCTGGGACGTGCAGCAAACTCCTCTTTTGTCCCTAACTGTCCCCCACGGGGCAACAGGGAGCCCAACACGGCACGAGCCCTCCAGAGCCTCCTGCTGCAGCGGGAGGATGAAGGGCTCTGCTGTGGCCTGGCTCTTCCAGCATCCGGCACAAGGCGGCGTTCATCCGCCTGGGGCTTCCGCAGAGTCTGGCTCACCTGGTAATAAAGGTTAATGCTCACCCAGGCGGCTCGTGTCATGTGTACCTGGGGCAGGAGGGCGAGCAGAGGGCGCTGTGGCCTTTGGAGGGGACTGTCGGGCGGGATGGAGCCCTCACCCATCCCGGGAGCAGCCCCTCGTCCCGGGCAGCCAGRGCCCGCCGCCCACACCGCCCTGTGCCCCTCCTCGCTGCCCCCGCCGTAGCTCCTGAGGGGACAGGGACACGCGTGGGTACCTGTGGGTGCTTTATAACGATGTTTCACACAGGAAGATGAAGGATTTCCCCACAGAATTCCCCCAGGATTCAGGGGAGCACCGGGGTGGGCGCATTGCCCACGCTCAGCAGGGCGCGCGCGCGGGGGCGGCCCTTAGGACCCGTTAGGCGGGCGCTGATGTCACGTGAGGGGCGTCTGGCGCTGCCATTGGCTCAGGGGAGGACAAATGCGGGTGCGTCACTTCCTGGTTACCTCAGTGAGCGTCAGGGCCCCGCGGGGTGCGGAGCGGGACGGGCCATGAGCGGCGGATATCTACCTTGGTACGGGGACTCTGAGGTAGCGCCAGTTCCTCAGCCTGCCTTCCCTATGCTGTGCTCATCTCGATGAATCCTGGCGAATCCCTCAGTGATAGCRATTCCTGAACTGTAATTCGCTGGGAGAGGAAGTAGGCATGAATAAAAGTGAAAAAACAGAATTCTTTTCTAGACCCTTCTCGTTGCAGCCGAGTGAGGGATTAATACATTCTCCTGGTTCATAAGAACTCTGGTACAAGCCTGTGGTGGGTGTGAGGCTGCAGGAGTGCTCCAGCTGGCTGTGTAGCTGCTGGAATTCTGTGTTATGTTTTTAATTTTAGGTAGCTGTAAGGTTCCTGGTGTCTCTGCAAATTCCTTACCCTTTGCTCTGAAGCGGCTCCTGCTGTGATGTGGTACAAATAGCTGGGTCTGCTCATTGAGAAAGGTCTGCCCTCGAATAGTGAAAGGAAAGTYTGTGTTTTGGAAGCCACATTGCATTGGTATAGGGTCCTTCACTGATTTATAGTCCATGCCTTCCTCCTCCTCAGAGCCTGAATTATCCTGAAGAGAAGGTTGTACCTATCAGGCAGTTCAGAATTGGGCTGATTCATGGCTATCATGTCATTCCCTGAGGCCATTCAGCCAGCCCGGCACTGCTGCAGAGGCAGCTGGATCTGGACATAGTCTTAAGGCACATGCACAGATTTGAAGCCTTTAGACATGAAAAAAAAAATTGTACATCACCCTGGGGTCAGCTACAGGAGCCTACAGTGCCTTGGAAAGGTGAGTGAGGAGAGCCCTGAGGTGCCCAGTGCTGCAGGTCCCTGGTGTCCCCTGAAATGCAGGCGAGTGTCTGGCCACAGCGCTGGCGAGGTGCTGGGAGGATCATGAGGCCGGCCTCCTCCCTTCCTGGGGAATGCAGGGGGAATCCCTGTTACCGGGGTTTTCTTAGCCCACAGGTCAGCTGTGACAGCCCTGCTCTGGTGTGTCTGGTGCTGCTTCGTGTGCCCAGAGAAGGACGAGTTGCAGCAGCTTCTTGAAGTTGTTTTGCTTTCTGGTGTCCTCCCAAAAGCTGCACTCTAGTTTTGTAGGCAACTGGACTTTTGGAAGCCCTTTCACCTTAAATGTCTGAGCCTGCCATAGCTTAGGCTGTCGTAGGCTAAGTGCAGCTGTGCCTGAGACATTGCTGAGACATTGCTGTCGGTGCCTGCAGACCTTGCAGTGCTTCCCATATCCCTGCAGCCCAGGGCAGCCAAGGGTATCAGAACAGATAAGCATAAGGTATGTTAGCAGCCAGAAGTGTAAGCTAATTGGGAAATCTGCCTTCTTTCCAGGAACATCACCCCTTCATTTGTGCTGAGGGATATCCAGGTCTCCACGGTGTGACTTACGTGTACCAGCTAATTGAGGATGACGTGAAAGTAGAAATAGTTGAGTTAAAAATATTCAAAGTTAAAAGTGTTCAAAGGTGCTTGATGAACTCTCCCTGCCTTTCACCCCTTCCCTTCCCAGATCAATCTTGGGGGATGTGGGCTTTAACACAGTGCTCCTGCTGTGGTGAGCTGGGCTGGAAAGCAGCTGTGACCCTTCAAMTGCTGATGACCTGTTCTTCTTGGTCCTCAACCAGCACCTGAAACAGAAGACACAGCTGATTAAAGGAAAGAGGCCTGTGGAAAAATTCTGTGTCTGAGGAGAAGCTGATGTGTTCCTGACCTGTAAGAGTTGCAGATGGAGGTGGTAGCTGGGCACTGGACTGTGTAAAGTGAACATAGCATAGTAAATTCTTGTCTTCATGTAACTGAGTCCAGTTAATTATGTTTGTAAAAGGTGAACATCAGCKTCAATTTGCTATAAGGGGGCTCCAAGGGCTCAAAGGAAGCTGCTGTTTGCTTCCTGAGATGGAGATGGCAYATATCAGAATCTGTGAATATGGAATATCATATCAGAATCTGTCAGAGATGCCAAGAACTTCAACTGTGCTGGGGACCCATCCTGCCTCCTTCATTGGAGCAGCATGGAAAGGCAGAGGCAGGTGTGGGAAGGGTGGTGTGGAGGGCTCTGTGCAGGGCTCTGGGGCTGGGCAGGCTGGGCACTGGCCCTGGTGCTCCAGAGGCTGCAGATGCAGAGCCCTGCAGTTCCCCRAGGCGCTGCTGACGAGGGGCAGTGTCCCTGGGGC